GGTGGGGAGAACACACGTCTGGGGACTTGAGGGTTTTCATTTCCTCGTAAGTAAATCTGAAAGGGAGAGAGGTCGTGCGGTAACTGCCTGGCTGGGCAGGGGGAGGCCAGGACACAAAAGCAGAATGGATACTAGAAGCCACAGGCCCAGCCAAAGGAGACTGGGAAGGCTCCAAAAAGGGGAACATCGGAACTGATCCCTTGACGTCAGCTCCTTCTATGACCATGGAAACTTGCCTCTGTTCAGTCTTCCTATTCACAAAGGGATACTCTGTTTTAAAGGAAAAAGCAGTGGGAGATGATAAGGGGTGAATTAGAGGGTGCAGGGACACTGGAGGTATTCTTTTTTTTTTTTTTTAATTAAGACAGACAGAGAGAGACATAGAGACAGAAAGCGAGAAATCACCCCCCAGGGGGGATGGTCACGCCGCAATCCCTTCTCCTCCATTCTCCTCTCGGGATCTTGGGCACGCACGCACACGCGCCCGGCGTGAGTTTTAAGCCACCGGGTCCGGGACACGAACCGCGGTCGACTACGTGGGAGTCCAGCGACATAGCCATTACGCTAACTGCTGGTTCCCTAATTTATTCATTTTTTAAAAAGAATTATTTTCTCTAGGGGCCAGCAGGTGGCATGGTGGTTAAGAGTGCTGGACTCCCACATGGCTGACCGTGATTTGAATCCCAGACCTGGCAGCTTGCTTTCTCACTTTCTCTCTCTCTCTCTGTCCCTCTCTGGTCAAATTAAAATAAATAAATAAATAATGTTAAAGAAAATAAACTTTTTTTGGAGAGGTTTTTGCTATAGGGTGTGTGTGCTCACCAGCGAAGCAGAGAACGACAGAGACAGAAAGCGAGAAATCATCCCCCAGGGGGAATGGCCACGCTGTAATCCCTTCTCCATTCTCCTCTAGGGATCTTGGGCACGCACGCACATGAGCCGGAGTGAGTTTAAGCCACCAGGTCCGGAACTCAAACTGCGGTCGACTACATGGGAGTCCAGTGACAGCCATTACACCAACTGCTGGTCCCATAAAGAAAATAATTCTTTAAAAAAAAAAAAAAAAGAATTATTTTCTTTCTTTTTTTTAAATTTATTTTAATTTGACCCAGGGGTGGGGGATAGGACAGAGAGAGAGATTGAGAGAGAGAGAGAGGAAAGGTGAGAAAACAAGTTGCCAGTTCTGAGGCTTGAACCGTAATTGGCCATGTGGAAGTCCAGTGCCCTTAACAACCATGCTACCTGCCAGCCAACCCCCATTCATTTATTTTAATTTGACTAGAGAGAGGTGGGAGACAGAGAGAGAGGGGGAAGTGAAAAAGTAAGCCACCAAGTCCAGGACTCGAACTGTGGTCAGCCATGTGGGAGTGTCCATTGCCTTAACCACCATGCCACCTGTTGGTCCCACTGGAGGTATTCTTCTTTTTTTTTTTTTTGAGAGGTTTTTGCTATAGGGCACGTGCACTCACCAGAAAGCCAGAGACAGAAAGCAAGAAATCGCCCTCCAGGGGGATGGCCATGCCACAATCCCTTCTCCTCCATTCTCCTCTCGGGATCTTGGACACACATGCACTAGCGCCTGGCAGGAGTTGAAGCCACCGGGTCTGGGATTTGAACCACGGTTGACTACATGGGAGTGCAGCGACATAGCCATTATGCTAATTGTTGGTTCCCCACTGGAGGTATTCTTGAGGATAGCAAGAGATGCCTACAGCCCTCCGGGGTGCTGTACTCATGCCATGAAAGTATCACAGGTCTACTGCATCTATTTGATAAGCTCTTACATATAAAAATACAGGGACTTCAAAAAGTTCATGGAAAAAATAAAATTAAAGTTTGAGTTTATTTTGGTGCAAAACTATTTTGAAATCCATGTATAGTTTTTTCATAATACATGTTTTCCTTGAACTTTCTGAAGCCCCTTGTGTATTTCATGTCTTTGATATACTAATGAGAGTAATTGTGTGCATGACTCAAACCTCTCTGAATGCTCAGGTTCATATCTTTTTTTTTTTAAGAATTATTTTATTTAACTTTTTATTTATTATTATCATTATTATTTTCCAGTTTGATCAAAGATAGACAGAGAGAGAGAGAGGAAGTGAGAAAGCAAGCCACCAGGTCCGAGACTTGAACCGTGGTCGGCCATGTGGGAGTCCAGCGCCTTTAGCCACCATGCCACTTGCCAGCCCCAATATCTTTTTTTTTTTTTTAAGTTTGCTATAGGGCACATCCACTTGCTGGAGAGAGACAGAGAGAGAAAGTGAAAAAGCATCCCCAGGGTGTGTGTGTGTGTGTGTGTGTGTGTGTGTGTGCACGCATAGCCAAGCTGCTCTCTCTCTCAAGCTGCCGGGTCTGAGACTCGAACTGTACAATCAACCATGGGGGATTCAGCTGTCTCAACCACCATGCCACTGGCTGGCACTCACATCTTAACTATTAGTAACTGTCCTTTACGAGTGACACCCATGGGGCCAACCAGTGGCGTTGTGGTTAAAGCACTTGATACCCACATGGTCAACCATGGTTTGAGTCCTGGACCCGGCAGCTTAAAAATCACACTGGGTGTGTATGCCTTATGCCCAAAACCCTGAAAGGAGAATGGATTTTGGTGTGGCCATCCCCCCTGATTTTCACTTTCTCTTTCTCTCTCTCTGGCAAGTGCACACACACTATGACAAATAACTTTAAAAAAAAAAAAGAGTGACGCCTTAAGATGCTCAGGACTTTTCACTCCTATAGTCAATGTCCCCAAGATGCTGGACTTAGAAATTCTTCAATCCACTTTTTGCAATTTTTCCTATTCAGTGCTATAATTCTTATGAAACTCAAAGTGATCGGTTCTAGAGATTTCAACACACACATCCCCTGATCTTTCTGTAAGCAACTTGCTGGGCAGTCAGATCACATGTATTAAAATGACACGAAATAAGAGAAGAGGCTGTGCCTGGGAAACCCTCGGACCGCTCTCAGAAAACGTTGGTAATCCTGTGGAGCAGGCTTTCCCAGCCTCAGCAGTGTCGGCATGTGGGGCAGGCTGGGTCTTTGCCATGGCGGTTTTGTAGAATGTTTAGCAGGATCTCTGGCCTCTACCTATCCGATGCCAGTTCCCTCCCAGAGTTATGCCAACCCAGACACTACCAAATGTCCCTGCTGGGCAAAAAACACCCGTTTGAGAATTACTGCTTTTGAAGATTAAATTTCCTAATGCTTGTTCCAAGTTTTAAAATTTTTTTCCACATGCGTTTTTTTTTCTGGTCGTGTGTAGCTGTGACTAATGGACTGATGAATTGATTTGCCTAACATTTCGTGAAAACTGTGTGTGCGTACACGTGCGTGAGTTTCAACAGAAGCATAAGATATACTCCTTAGTCTCAGGCTACACAGGAGAAAAACTATGCACAAGTACGTCACCAGGGTGCAGAACAGCCCTAGATTCTCGGCAGAAAGTCGATCCATTTTCTGGGCCCTCTCTAGCGCCAAGCTAAGGACCCCTACTGCCGCCATTCTGTTGGTCCCACAGCCCCAGCCTGGTCCTCCGCCCAAGTCCTCCCCTCAGTCTGCAGTGCCTCCATCTACTCTGCCTTTTCTGACCGATCCAGCACCAGGCTTTCCCCAGGCCCGTCCTCTCCCTGCCTCGCCGCCCCCCCCCCCCCCCCACCCCCCTGTCTGCCTCGAGCAGGCGCTTTGGCACTGAGCAGTCCGGCTCTCTTTGCTGGCTGATCTGTCCTGTGTGGTCAGTTTTCTCTTCTATCTACCATATGGATCCCTCGAAGGGAGGGCAGACTGAAACTGGGAAGCCGCTCTCACTCCCACACCCAGCCCAATCTTGTTCCAGGCACCCAGCAGCGCCTCGAGCCTACTGAAACTAAACTTGGCATTCAATCCCTGCCCAAGACTGTCCATCCCATCTGGTTTCCTAGTGCTCTTCCCCAGATTCCCGCCTAGCCACTTCTCCAAACCCTCCTGTCTGACAGTTAAAATCACCTCGGACTCGCTTACGGAGGGTCCCAAGGTAAAATGAAATCGTCCCCACCTGGAGCCAGACACCACCTCTTCCCTGCACACATCTACGGCACCTGCTGCACCTGACCTGCTGTCATAGACTAGATTTAATCTGAGCTTGTCTCTCCTTCGTCCCTAAAAATCCAAGAACCTTGAGGAAAGGGTCTGGGGGTGTTTTTCTGTATCCTCAGAACCATCTCTCAACTTCCTCTGAGGCCTGGCGTTTAATCTGAAGTCACTGAATGGAATAGAAAGGAAATGCGCAAAGGTCCCAAATCCAAAAGCGGACACCCTGAAAACGACCTCGAACGCACGTCTTAAGGGCCAACCCCCCAGCTGTCAATGTCCCCAGACTCGAGCTGCCTTATCTCTAGCAAACTCTCCCAGGCGAACTTAGGACGGGAGAGGCGGTGAGGCGAGCACCGGCTGCCGGGCTGAGGCTGGTCACAGCATCACATGATTCTCCCATCACATGATCCCTAGAAATGGGGTGTGGGGAGAGAGAGGAAGGGGGGAGGAGAGACTTGAGTAGGAAAGAAACAGCATTCCGAACTGACCCCGCCTCTACGCCGAGGAGTAACCAATAGAAACTCAGAATCCCGGGCCCCTGGCCAATGGAAATCTAGGTGGGCGGGCCCTCGCGCTGCCGGGGCAGTAGTCAAAAAGCTGACCCGCGGCGCTACCCAGCAAGCGCGGACCCAGGCACAGGTAGGTGTGCGACCGCCGGGACCCGTCTCCTGCTCCTGTCCACACGGCCAGGACGTGTGGGCTTGAAACGCCTGTGGAGTCTCAGCCGGGAGACAGAGAATGCCCGCTTATATAGACTCCTGGGGGGAGGGGACGTTCTGAGACATGGAGGGAGTTTTATGGGGACGGAAAGAGTAAGCGACAATTGCAGTGACCTCCATTAGAAGGGGGCTCTCTCCCTCCCAGTACCCCGGAAAGCTGCAGGCCAGGGCCCACCCATTCTGGAGCCAGCTCCACCCCTGCCTGCAGGTGCCTGCTCCTTCCCTTCCGAGGGTCGTGGAGTGTGGTTCTGCCGTGGCTTGCGGTGGGAGGGCCCCAGTCACTCGTCCCGGAGCTCGGAGGGGCTGGGAGCAAGACTTGAGACCTGGCTTCTCACAGGTAGGAGGGACTTGGGCGTGGTGACCGAATCCCCTGGCTGTGTCTGGCTCTTGCTTACTTCCTCTCGTGGGAGGTGGGACGAGCTAACTTCCGCTTCTCCCCGCCACTTTTTTTCCTGTCCATTCACAGCGTGGTTGACTTACCTTTTGGGAATTTCTTCTCTCCTTGGCACTTGGAATTGGGGGGTGCCACCTAGTGGAAGGTGGCAGAGCTAAAGGCTTGAGAGGCTCCTGGCCTCTGGCTGTTTGGAGAGTGTGGGGTTGGGATGAGAACTCTGCAGAGAGGGACTAGGTCTCCTCCTGCCCCATCCCTGGTTCTGAGTGCTGGGTACTCAGCAGAAGCGTACACCGTGCTTCCTAAACTCGGGGAGAACTGGAAGGAAACCATGCACAAATAGATCACCAGGGTGTGGAAAGTTCCTGTGCACACCCGCACCCCCTTCCCACTAAGCCAGGCAGCAGGCAGCCTGCGGAGGCCTCAGGGGGACAGCGGAGGAGCAGGTGGGGCCCTCTGTAGATGCTTGGCCTGGGAGGTGGGGCTGGGGCCAGGATGAAAGGGCAGCGTTTCAAGACCAGCCTTCATCTTTATCTGGCCCCGGGGTGGCCCCTTTGAGTTAAGGGAAAGGACACTTGAGGAAAGCCAGGTGAGGGAGAGAGGACTCCAGTGACTGGGTGAGTGGGATTTCGTACTCTCCCTTCGACCCAGCCAGGTCCACACATAGACTCAGTGGAGGTTTTAGGCACACCTTCTGATGTTCCGTGATCGGCGGGTGGCAGTGCTAGGACTAGACCCAAGGAGGATTTCCAGGCAGCCCTTGAATCCCGTTTCTGTTCTGTCCAGTTCACCTGTCCAGGAAATGTTTCTGTCCCCTCTCCCCTGCTTGGACCTCAGGCATCTATCTCCCTTGGGCCTAGGGTCCCTTCCTAGGCAATGTTATGAGATGAACCCAGGCCCAGTGAGCTCTGGAGCCACCAAAGCATGGCAGGGCCATGACTTGCTCTGCCACCTGGGCACACTGCTTAACAGCTCTGAGTGCCCGCTTCCTCCTCGGAGAAGTAACGGTAGTGGATGGTGAGAGTCAGTTACTACCTCGGTTGGTTGTTCCAAAGTAAAAGCTCATGGAGAGCGTTGTAACCGGCTCCCAAGAGGTTCGGCAGATTGGCTGTTTTTGCTCTCTTGCCACCCTATTGAGCTAGCCAGGCCAGCTGGCCCTGAGGGCAGAGGTGTTTAGGAAGTGATAGGCCCACTTCCTCTTGTGACTCAGATTCCAAGGTAGGGGTGAGGCAGGGGTGGGAGGTAGATGTCTGGGGAACCTGAAAGGGCCTTGGTGGGGACACTGAAAACTCAAAGGCTGACCCAGCCTCTGTCCCCTTCCCTGGTGAAGAGGGGACAGTCGTGGGCAGCCAGTGACTGACCGCTGGGGAAGGTAGCCCAGACTCCGCTAGCCACCACTCTTCCTTTTTAACAACTTTCTCAACGCTGTGGTTTCCCATGTCATCGTGTGACAGGCTCCTGCTCCTAAGACCCTGCCAGGTTGTAGGTGTGAGCATAGGAGCAGGAGAGGTGACATCTGGAGGGGCCAGCTATGGAAGGGGAACCCTGACTTTTCCTGGGAAGAGGACCCTTTCCTGCATCCCAGCCTTGTCCTTTCCCATGGCTAATGACACCTCCCCCCCACCCTCAGAGGTGGCCACAGATCAGACCCACAGGAACCACATGTCTTCCTGACTCACAGGCTACATCTACACACTCACCCACAGAGACACTCAGGTGTGTTAGTATGTGTTGGGGACACAGATTCACATATGTACTTGGGTCAACATATATGCTCATGGTGTGTACAAGCCCGTGCCCGGGTGACACACATGCAGTGGACATGTGCAGGAAGCTGACTCTCCAACCCAGCATCTTTTTTTTTTTTTTTTTAATTTTGCTAGAGGTCATGTGCGTTCACCCAAGACAGACGAGAGAGGGAGCAGAGTAAGCATCCCCCATGGGGAACGGTCACACTGCTATCCCTTCTCCTCCACCTCTCCCTCCTTACTGGATTTTGAGCACGCATGCACATGTACCCAGTGCATCCAGCTTATCCACCAGGCCCCAGAGCTGGCCTAAGCCCCACATCTTTCTGCCTGCGCAGACAGGGAGTTGTTGGGGAGGCTCGGGTAGCCTGGGCCTGGAACTTGGTGTAGATTCAGTGAGGGCGTGGCTTCAGGGGAATAGACTTAAGCTGGTGTCAAACCTCCTTGGTATTTCACAGGCAAATCATGTGGATGCTGGTGAGTTGGGTGGCCTTAGTGGCAGGGATGGTGGCTGGAACACAGTGCCCAGATGGCCAGTTCTGCCCCGTGGCCTGCTGCCTGGACCCAGGAGGAGCCTCTTATGGTTGCTGCAATCCCGTTCTGGTGAGTACCCTCCCACCCAGGCCAGAGGTGGCAGCCTGGGTTTTCCCAAAGGGTCATCTTGGGTTGGCCAGAGGGGGCGGCCAGGCATGGGTCCTTTGGCTTATTCTCTCCCCTCTCTTCCCAGGACAAATGGCCCACAACACTGAGCAGGCGTCTAGGCAGACCCTGCCAGATCAGTACCCACTGCTCAGCTGGCTACTCCTGTCTCCTCACTGTCTCAGGGAGTTCCAGTTGCTGCCCATTTCCAGAGGTGAGGGTGACACTAGCTCAGTGGAGGACTCAAGTCTGCATTTATGCTTTTCTGCACCTCCCACCCCCAGGGACAAGGGCCTTACCAACTCAGGCTTCTCTGTGTTCCACAGGCTGTGGCATGTGCGGATGGCCACCACTGTTGCCCACGGGGCTTCCACTGTAGTGCTGATGGACAGTCCTGCTTCCAGAGACCAGGTGCAGCAGGGGTGTGGGTGGAGAGCAGGAGGGTAGGCAGTGGGTGGAGCCTAGGAACCCAGGCCAGTGGAGAGGCCCGATTCCTGCTTTCAGTCATGTGGCATACATACAAGGGGGGGGGTATGTCTTCAGAAAGTTCATGGAAAATGTGTATTATGAACAAAAACATGCATGGATTTCAGTACAATTTTTTAAATTATTTGCACCAAACTAAACTTGTACACTAACTCCATTTTTCCACAAACACTTTGAAGTGCTCTCCTACTAAACAACCTCCGTGCTCTGCCCAGAGGGTCCTGGGGTAGGAGGGGGCAGGAGAGAATGCAGGACTCCAGGCCCAGCATCTCAGAGGTGAGGAGAGGCCAGGCTGTACTAGTTGAACGCCGACCCACTGTCAGTGGATGTCCTGTCCCCCGCCAAGGCAAGGAATGGATTGTAGGGAGAGTGGGTCAGTGTTGCCCGGGAGATCGCTGAGCCCTAGAGCCGACCCCCAGGCCCCTATGGCTGGGCCTGCAGAGCCTGGTGTCACCAGTTCCTTGAGGAATGAGGCCTGGGTTGGTGGAGCTCATACCGTTCTACCCACAGATAACCAGCCCCCGCGTGCCATCCTGTGCCCCGGTGGCCAGGTTGAGTGCCCCAACTCCTCCACCTGCTGCGTTATGGCGGATGGCTCCTGGGGATGCTGCCCCATGCCCCAGGTACTGATTTGGGGAGATGGCGCTGGAGGGAGGGCAGCAGGGCAAAATTAGGGGCAAAGACAGTCAGAGTCATCTCTTCCCAGGCTATCTGCTGTGAAGACAAGGTGCACTGCTGTCCCCACGGTAGCACCTGTGACGTGGCTCATTCCCGCTGCATCACACCCACGGGCACCCACCCCCTGGTCAAGAAGATCCCGGCACAGAGGACTGATGGGGCGGGTGAGAGGGTGGGCGAGCCAGAGGGCAGGGTGGTGAGGCCGGGGTGTGGGGGCAAGGTCACAGTTATGCCCAGCTGGGAAAACGGTTTCCTCCCGCCACGCTGCCCCTCACACCTCATTCTTTTTTCCAGTGGTTCTGCACACCTTCGTCACATGCCCTGATGGGTGGTCCCAGTGCTCTGACAATTCTACCTGCTGTGAGCTGCCCAGTGGGAAGTATGGCTGCTGCCCCATTCCCAATGTGAGTGAGGGGCTGTCGCCAGCTTGACTGTGTGCCTGCAGCCACCTGGCCTGGACAGGCACCTTTCAGGGGCTCCCGGGTTAGGGCGGCTGGCTGCTGGGAACCTGACTCAGGACTCATGCCACCCCCTTGTGGGGGACTGGGGCAGTGCCAGCTGTCAGCCTGGCTGCTTCCTATGCTCAGCTGAGGCTGGAAGTCACAAAGACCCACCTGGTCCCCACGCAGGCCATCTGCTGCTCCGACCACCTGCACTGCTGCCCACAGGACACTGTGTGTGACCTGACCCAGAGTAAGTGCGTCTCCCAGGAGAGCACGTCAGACCTCACCGAGCTGTCCACACACACAGGTATCAGGGGCTGGCCACAGACCCCATTCCGCCTGTACTGAGAGGAGGGGGTTCCAGGAACCGATGTGGGGGCGCAGGGGTGCTGGCCACATGGAGGGGCCAGGCTGGTGCAGCCCTCTTTCTTGCATTGGGCCTTGCCTGGGGTCACTTCAAGCAGGTGTAAGTGGTACCTGCCATCCTCAACATCTGATTCCAGCTGGGACGCTGGCAAGAGGGGGTGCCCCTAAGGGGCACCACTGACCTGTCCTTGTTGCCTGCCTCACAGTGCAAGAGGTCAAATGCGACATGGAGGTGAGCTGCCCGGATGGTTACACCTGTTGTCGCCTCCAGTCAGGGGCCTGGGGCTGCTGCCCTTTTGCCCAGGTACTCAGAGAGGTGGGTGGGCTGTGCTGGGCAGGGGGTGACAGCCAGTAAGACCCCTGTGCCCACTGGCCCTCCTCCATCCCCCAGGCCGTGTGCTGTGAGGACCACATACACTGCTGCCCAGCGGGGTTTACGTGTCACACAGAGAAGGGGACCTGTGAACAGGGGACCCACCAGGTGCCCTGGATGGAGAAGGCCCCAGCCTACCTCAGCCTGCCGGACTCACAGGCCTTGGAGAGTGACGTCCTCTGTGATAATGTCACTAGCTGTCCCCCTAACAACACCTGCTGCCGACTCAAATCTGGCGAGTGGGGCTGCTGTCCTGTCCTAAAGGTGCATGGGTAGGGAGACAGCACTGGGTTGGGGTCAGCTTCTCGAACCGGGCAGGGGGTTGCCAGACTCCTACTGCTTTGCTCCTTGTGCACCCAGCTTGTCACATTTGGCCCCGGCTGGAGGAGCTAACAGGAGAGGTGGGCCGGGGGGGGGGTATGGTAGAGGCTCAGCCCTTGACCCACGTGGTAGCTCCCTGGGCCACCTTTTCCTGCACCCTGACCCCCCAGGCTGTCTGCTGCTCGGACAACAAGCACTGCTGCCCCCCAGGCTACACATGCACGGCCGAGGGGAATTGTCAGAGAGGGAACGAGACAGTGGCTGGACTGGAGAAGACACCTACCCGCCAGGCTTCCCTGTCCCACTCCAAAGACATCGGCTGTGACCAGCACACCAGCTGCCCAGTGGGGCAGACCTGCTGCCCAAGCCTGCGAGGGGGCTGGGCATGCTGCCAGCTGCCCCATGTGAGTGCACACCTGCCTGCCCCTGGATAGGGCTGGGGGCACAGGAGGGTAATGCCTTCTGTCCCCGCAGGCCGTGTGCTGTGACGATCGCCAGCACTGCTGCCCGGCTGGGTATACCTGCAATGTGAAGGCTCGATCCTGTGAGAAGGAGGGGAGCCCTGCCCAGTCTGCTGCCCACCTGGCCCTCAGCCCTCACGTGGGTGCAGGGCATGTGGCATGTGGGGCAGGGCACTTCTGCCATGACAACCAGACCTGCTGCAGAGATAGCAAAGGGGGCTGGGCCTGTTGTCCCTACCGCAAGGTCAGTGCCACCACACACCCTGGGGCTGGGTGTAGACTTGGGCTAGGTCCTGCGCTGGCTGACTCTTACGCCCTCTGACCATGCAGGGTGTCTGCTGTGCAGATCAGCGGCACTGCTGTCCTGCCGGCTTCCGCTGCGGGGCCAAGGGCACCAAGTGTGTGCGCAGGGAGACCCAGCGCTGGGACATCCCGCTGAAGGAGCCAGCTCCGAGACAGCTGCTGTGAGGAGGGATTGAGGACTGAAGAGACCCCCAGCCCTTGGGACCCTTTCAGGGTGCACACTGCTCAGGCCTCCCCAGCACCTCTCCACCAAACTCTCCCTGACCCCCCCCTCCCAAACGCCATGGCAGGTAGGGCCTCTAAGGCCTTTCCTTGTCAGAAGGGGGTCTGTGGCAAAAGCCACGTGACAAGCTGCCATCCCCTCCCGTTTCTGTGGACCTTGTGGCCAGGTGCTGTCCCCTATCCACAGGGGGCTGTGTGTGTGTGCGCGCGCATGTGTGTGTGTGTGTGTCCGCCAATAAAGTTTGTACACTTTCTTAACAGTGTCTGATTGGGCCACCCTGCGCACCCTCCCCGGGAGACCTCCGAGTGAGGGCGCTCTCCCCTCTGCCCCACAAAGACACACACAGCCTTAACCCCACCAGTTTTATATTTGCTGCTGCCCACAGCGCCCCATGACATCACCATCCCCAGAGCTGCCCCAGCTCCCAGCCCTGTGACATCGTAGCCCAGGGGTGGGCTAGTCAGCACGAAGCACCCCCTCCCCTCCCAGGGCTCCACGGGAAGGCTCCCTCCCTTCCCAGCCCTCACACCAGCAGCTGAGGCCGGCTGCCCCTCCTGCTTCCACGATAGAGCTTTCTATGTACAGCACATGTACACAGGCACTGCTCCCCCCACCCAGCCCTCCTCCCGGCACCTCCCACGGGGGGCTGGACCCTCCCACCGCCTCGGCTTGGAGCCTGGGGGCAGAGGATCCCTTCCTAGGACCTTCCCCAGCACGTACCAGGAACATGGCGGCAGGCCCCTGGACGCCTTTGCGACCTGGGGCTAAGAGTGCGCACCCCCGCTGCCCCCCGGGCCACGCACCCTGGGGGCGGGCCGGGGCGGAGGGGGCGG